AAATAAATACAGAGATATACTGTGTTCATGGATCAGAAGAAATAATAGTTAAAATGTCCATTTAATAAAATGTCCAAAGCAATAAACAGATTTCATGTAATCCTTACCAAAATTCCAATGGCATTCTTCACAAAAATAGATCAATCCTAAAATTTGTATGGAAACCACACATAGAAAAATGCAAACAGCCAAAGCAATACTGAGAAAGAAAGAGTTGGAGGTATCACCCTTCTTGATTTAAAATTATATTAGAAAGCTACAGTAATCAAAACAGTATGGTACTGATATAACAACAGAAACATAGACCCATATGGTACAGAACAGAGAGCTCAGAAATAAATCCAAACATATACAGTCACCTAATTTTTGCCAAGACCAACAGAGGACACAATAGAAAGAGGAGAATTTCTTCAGTAAATGGTGCTGGAAAAACTGAATTTCCTCATGCAAAGGAATGAAATTGAACTCTCATTTTACACCATACACATAAATCAAATGAAAATAGATAACAGACCTAAATGTAAGACCTAAAACCTTAAACCTCCTAGAAAAGAACATAGAGGAAAAGCTCCTTGACACTGGCTTTGGCAATGCTTTTTTTAGACATCACGCAAAACCCCAGGCTACAAAACCAAAAACAAGTAGAACTAGTTCAAACTAAAAAGCTTCTGCACAGCATAGGAAACAATCAACAAAATGAGAAGGCAACCTACAAATTTGGGACACATATTTGCAAACCACATATCTGATAAGGGGTTAATATCCAAATTTATAAAGAATTCTTACAACTCAAAAGCAGAAAAACAAATAACCCAATTAAAATATGGGCAGAGGACCTGAATAGACACTTCTCCAAAGAAGTCATAAAAGTGGCCAACAGGATATATGGAGATGTAGGTCAAAGGGAACAAAGTAGCAAACATGTGAGATGAATGAGTCTAGAGATATAATGTGCAATATGAGGACTAGTTAATAAAAATGTATTTGGGGATTTTGTTAAATAAGTAGATTTTAGCTGCTCTTCTCACAAAAAAGGTAACTGTGAGATGGTAGATATGTTAATTTGCCTTATTATGAGAACCATTTTACTATCTATATGTATCCCATAGCATCATGTTGTAAACCTCAAATATACACAATAAAATCAATTTTAAAAAAAAGTTTAAGACTCCTTTTCAATCTGGAGTAAACCACTACTACAATTTCCCTGTGCTCCTTTCCAAAATATTCTATGAATATACAATTGTTTAATTCAATTTAACGTTAGGTTTTATACTTGAAAATTGAAAGCATATTATATTCGTCCATTACATATAAAAAGCATCTGTGTGATTCCCTGTCTGTAGAGCACATGCTCCCTCCTTCACTAACACACATACACATATAACCTGTACCTTATACAGAGAATCCTTGTTTGGCTTTAGTCTGATACCGTGGGCAAGCCTGAGTTGACCTGTTGTCCGCATTCCTGACCAGGTGTTTTTCTCACCCACTGGTTTCAACAAAGATGTTACTGGGTTATAGAAGGCTGGTATGGAGACAGGATACCAGGTTCGCATGAAGATGATATCTGGAAAGAGAGAAAATTTACTTTAACATTTTCCAAAGAAGACTCATATCCATCTTGCCAAGAATAAAGAACAAAACATCTACCCCAAACTTCTCTACCTTGTTGCACAATATTTGAAGAGGGACTTCCCCAAGTAAACTACACTTATACAGTAGATGAGCTTTGAACAACACAAGAAAGGTGGTTAGAGGTGCCAATCCCGTGCAGTCAAAAATCTGCGTGTGACACTAATTAAGCACATCTCACACTTTTCCCCAGGTCCTGGCCAGCAGCGCCTGGGGCAGACAGAGGTGGGGAGATGACAGCACCAAGTCATTACTTAAGTAATAGTTAACTACCAACAGAATACTGTTAGGTAGGCTACTTAACTGGTTGGCGAGGTAGGTCATGAAATCACAACCTACCTAACCAAGTTTTTCAATATATTTATTGAAAAAAATCTGCATATAACAGGACCAATGCAGTTCAAACTCGTGTTGTTCAAGGGCCTGCACAGAACTTTTTTTTTTTGTCAATATACAATGTAGTTAGTTATTGTGTCCCATCACCAAAACCTCCCTCCCTCCTCCCTCTCCCCCCTCCCACCCAGATGTG